CCTGATGGGGTGTGTGGAAGTCTCCTTACCACAGGATGGACACCTATGCTCGTGGCCTGGGGTTTGCAGCATCAGCTTCTGAGGGCATCTCTTTTCCCACCGAGAGCGGTGCAGCTCATGCCCATAGCCTGCCCACGTGGCAGCTGAAGTTGGAGGTGGAACGCGAGTGTCTGTGTTTACTGGAGGAGGACAGAGTCAAGCTGCTGGGTTAACATGATCAGACAGGAGCGCCCAGCTGCCAGTCTCTACACATGACACCAGAGCTCAGGGACCCTCTCTGGGCAGGGAATGTGCGGGCTCCACACACTTAAAAGGAGAGGAATGACATTTATTTGCTTGTGTGTCGGTTTAATATGGGTAGTCTTTCTGCTAAGCTCTGTGTTCCATGAGCTCTGGGACTGTTTTATTTTTTATTCAGTGTTGCCTGGGGTCTGACTCAGTGGAGGAGCAACGTAAATGTTTGTGGAACTGAAATAAAGTTGAATTGAAGACTGACAAAAATGGTCATTAAAACACACCCAAGGATTTAACTTGCCCAATCCTTCTGTTCAGATTCACTCAGATCCTCTCTCCCTCCCTCTCTCTCCTTCCCCAGGAGGGATGATTAGTGTATTCCGATGGCTAAGAATATAACAATTTAATTGATATTTGTTTCTGCAGCAGTGCAATATCTCATTTTCCCAAGAAGGCAGTTTTCCATTTCTGTTCCAGGTTTCTCCCAACAAAACAGATCAATCCTGGGAATACTGAAGGCCATTTGTTAAGAAAGAAAGAATGTGGGTAATGGGTTTGAAATAGACACAATTCTGTAATCATCAGGTTAAACACTGACATTTATTTAGGGTTTTGTGAACTCATACATTATTAGGATAAATTCTAATTTATATCAGTATATAATAGGCAAATATATAATACCATAAATTGCATTTGTACACATAAATACAAAATTTGAGGTAGGGCCTCAAGAATAATGACTTCTTAAATGAATAATGCACAGTATATAATATGTACTCTATAAGATATATATATGATGCATCATTTATAATGTAATATATTTTCTTCAAGTACAGTTAATGAAAAAATATAAGGACCTGATTACGGAACATATCTTTATTCATAGGCGACAGGACCATGTAAGATGCCTGCATTTAGGACACTAGCCAAGTACACAATTTAAGAATAAACCTATTCCATGATAGGTCCATATAAAGTGCAAAAAAAGACCAAAAAAATGAGAGACAAAACAGCTCCTAGTCAGTTACTAGGTATCACCCTAACAATAAAATACACCTATAAGGCAAATGGTTACCTGAAGATGTATTTAATCCATAGCAGGCAAATCAAACCATTGCTTGCTCTTCAGAGGTGATGAATGCCCAATCTGAGAACACTTTCTCTTTCACTGCAGGCTGCTCAGAGGTGACCCGAGCAGAGACCACAATTCAAAATTACTTGGCCTTTCTGTACAGTTGAAGCAAAATCCAGGAAAGATAGGAAGCTTCACTTTTGCAAATCCTAGGGCCACTTTGCAGAGAAATTAGTATCAAGATTAAATCACCCAAACCTTTGCTCCCAGCCTGGAGGTTTTCTGCATGATACCTGGTATGAAACATAGGTAACACTCATTCCGCTCGTTGGCCTTGGTCTTTATGTCTCTGCAAGATAACCTACCACCCAGCCTGCCCTTGCTTGAGTCATCTGCCTCAAAGAAGCATGTCACAGACCTAGATCCAAGTGCAGCAGCAGTATGATCTTGGCATCACACTTACTTTAAGTAATAGTTATTGTGCGAGTCTCTGAGAAGAGAATGATGACCGATAGCCAAGGGAACAAAGAGGAAAGAAAAATATCTTAACTTTAGGCATGGGAAAACCATGCTGACAGGTTATTAGGAAGCACTGAGGCACATGTAGATAACAAAATTAGAACTTAATTAAAGGAAAACTCCACTCCAGTGCAACATTAGCAAAGACAACCCAAGTCTTATCCATTTCCGGGTCATTGCGTTCAGTGTCCTTTTAAAGTGCCACTCACTGAAAAACAAGTTGATTCCATTTCTGACATATTAAAAACACATTGGAAATTTCAAAGACGTTGAGGTCATCGAGATTTTGCATTGACCACAGATTTCATGCAATAAATAAATATAAACGAAAAAGAGAAAAAAAGACCAGACTGGACACATTTGTACATGGCAAACACACAGCCTTAAAGAGATTAAAAGTTACTAATATGCAAGACAAATATTTGCATAAGAAGCCACAACACCAATTGTTAAGACATATACACTTTTTTCTCCTTTAAGGATATTACAGCGTTACTGTTTTTAACATATGGCTTTTTTTTTTTCCCTCTGGATGGGTTTCTGGCATTTGTTGGTATTAGGAAATAATCTCACAAGTGGAAAATACCCCACCATTCTGCACAGTGAACCAATGAAAGTCTTTCCTCAGCAACTCGGTTTTTGCCTCAGTTTGAAGGGGAACTCTCAAGTGGCACTTTATGACAATGCTGCTCATTTTATTTTTATTCGTTCATTTTTTTCCCCTCCACTTGACTGTGCATTTTAATAGCATGGAAACATCCATCTGGTCATACGCATCTCAGCTCTTAGCGTCCCAGCCAAGTCTAGGGGAGGTGCAGCATGAGTAGTTTGGTGATGACTAGAAACAGCTCAGATACTGAACACATCTCTGGCAAGGAAAGCCTCAAAAGTTAAACACGACTGTAGAAACTGGCAAAACTAAACTCACAAGGTAACTATTTCCAGATAAGCTTAGAACCTTCCACCTTTAAGGAAACTGTACGTAAAATTTGAAAGTTGTAGGAAAAAGGAAAACAAACAAACAAACAAAAACCCAGCTGCTCAGGGAACAGGTCCTGGGTCTTAACTGGACAAATTGTAATGAATACAAATGTCGCTGCCCCCAAATGCAAAACACACTAGCTAGTGAGGCTGTCCTCATTCTGACAATTAAGTTAACTTGCAGTGTGTACAAAACAAATCTGGCAGCATCCATGAGTTTTTCCCCCTTTCTTTTAATCACAACAGCAATAATTAACAGAAACTGGGTTGGCATCCAGCATCAGACTCGAGTTTTAGCCAAGAGAGGAAAGCCAAAAACCACTCATCCTGACACGAACGTACCAGTCAAGGGGGCTTCTCTACAATATGGCTTTCTTGGGGAAACCAGAGTGAATGGCGGACAGGTCACTATGGGAAACACTGGGACAGGGGAAGCCACAACTCAGCTTCCTAAAGCTAAGTCTAGGGGAAGCTTAGGATTCAGTCTCTGTGATGGATTCTAGTAAGTTCTAGCTTTGGGAGGTAAGCAGAAGAAGAGAACGAGGAGGGGGAAGAACAAACGTGCCCTGCAGACAAAAGAGATGAAAAACCTAAAGTTCGAAACCCATCTTTGTTTCCTTTTCTGAAAGTTTCCACAGGCTACTCTTGAAAACCGGAAGTTCACGTCGGTGTTGGCAAATGACAACAATATTTGCCCCAGAAAAGGGAGAGCTCAGTAAGATGAGTTGAGATTTTCCTCTTTCCTTAACAAATGAAGTCATTTTTTAAAAAGTGTTACTTTAAGGTCTATTGTTGGGTTTCATTACTGTTCAACAGGATGAAAATGGCACATCAACATACAAGATTTGAACTGAAAACTTTGCCTGAGACCCTGTAATATGAAGACAAACCAATAAGAAAATGATTGAAATGGTCTCCCCTAAGGAAACAATTTTAGGTTTAGATATTATCACTGTAAGGGAAAGAAAAAACCCAGACCACACTATCCTACACTCACCATCTCTACAGTGATTAATAAGATATTTATAAAGACAGAAAACACCACTACGAGTACACACTACGTGAACACATATCACATTATAGAAATCTCATATATGTATGTTCAGGATACAAGAAGATAATAAAGGTTACGGCTTTACCAACCTCTGCAGACATATGATTCGCTCTCATTAGAGTGTGGTTATGAGTACTGTGAATTGGGAACTCTTAAAATTGAATTAGCTAAATGTAGTCTTAAAAGCTATAGCTTTAATTAGCTCACTTGCTACTGACCTAACCTGTACCTATCAGAAATCTCTGTAAATACAGTGACCTAAAATGTACTACCAGTGCGGTGAATATTGTGGTTGCTTTCTCTTCAACTCTCCATTTCTTTGATTCTATGGCCACAATCGGCATTGACTGTGAATGAAAAAATGAAGAATAAAAACCGAGACATTATGTTTTTTAAGAGTTTGTGTCTTATATATATAATATATAGACAGAACCAGGGTAAGTCTTGTTTTCCCAGAGGCTGAAAGACAAGGTAGCTACAGCTCATAGAAAGACGTTTTAGAAGAGAAGAAACATGGAATGGTGACATTGAACCAAGTGCTAGACGTCATGGAGAAACAAAAAGGGCACTCTGCTATGAATGTACAACTTTGGGCACAAATAATACGATGCAGAGGTGGAGGAAAGGATCCAAAGAATTCACAAATATGGTTATTCAAAAAAAAGACAACTGAGGGGAGAGAACCAACTCTTCACTGAGATTTGCAGTTTGCAGAGAGAAAGCATCTGAGTCCTTGGTACACTTGAGACAGTTGGTCCAGATGAAGGAAACAGAGCCCCAATCATGAGTGGAAATGGGAACTTCACCACCTCGGGGGTGTCCAAATCCACCGGCTCGTCTTACTCAAAACCATTTTCTGACCACTGCTGACCCTCCAGAGGTACCCAGTCCTGAACTTTGTGTGTCGGAATGAAATCACTACATTGCTCAGATGCGTCCAAACTAACGGTCTGGTTATCCTGTCATTCTGCTGCATAAGCCTGACTGGCACCACCAGTGACAACCACAGAGGATGCTTCTCTACTGACCAACGCACGCACATCTACTTGAGACTTCGCTGGAAAGCGCTCCCCTAGTTGATTCGAGCCTGCGGGGTAAACCCCACCAGAAACTGACAGCATGGACACAGGCAACCCGCTCTTCAAGTGGTCCATCTAGCTCCTGGCTACAGCATGCGACTCTATGTCCTACTTTTCTAAGTCACCCCTCTCGTGCACAGGTGTGAACCGAGATGTGGGGAGAGAGAAGAAAAATGGGAAGAAAGCTGGGGAAAACACTAGGGGAAGGCAGAGAGGAGAAACGGAAACAAGTCTGGGCCACCCATGCCATCGGACTAGCACTGGGTACCCAGTTCCAAATCCTTCACTGGCAGTTTGAGTCCCAGGGAAGAGGTTCCCAAGGGGTCGATCATGTTCTTGTAACGCTCCCCACGGTGCTGAGCTAAGAAGGGGCCCCAGTCCGGCTGCGGCGAGCACACCAACTTCAGCCTCTGCAAAGAAGCCAAAGACACACAGCGTCACAGAAGCAAAGCACCCTCTTCCCCCAGGCACCACCCACCCATCCCCAAACTGCGTGTGACCACATTCGCCAGAACGCCTCCTGGAACCAAGAGGTCCCCCACCAAGCGAAGCACTTAGGAAGATCAGCCCCATTAATTAAAAAGGCCAGGGATGCAGTTAAGAGCAGACTTAGGTTAGTTCACTGGAAATTATTTGTATCACCCTGCAAGCAATATTACAGTTGCCCAGGGTTTGCCTTGCACAAGATTAATAGAGAATAAAGGGCCCAGATTTTAATTATACATTTTTTACCCTCCAAATGGAGAGGATCTACAAGCTGCTCTCTCCACTGCCAAATGCAGTCTGCAAAGGACATGTACTCACTTTTGTTCTGTAGCCTCAACAGTGAGTTGTTATATCAAAATAATTGGATTTTGTTTAGCATATTTCCCCAAAGTATATAAATGGCCGGAAAAAAACCCCCTCAACCACAAAGATACATTGCCAAGAGTGAGCAAAGATTTTAATTATCTGTTGACAAAAATACACGCTTCTGACTTGGTTCAGAAGTGTGGGTTCTTGCAGGCAAGCTAAAAATAATGGGAATGTCTCTAATCCGTCAACGGAACCTTTCATGGAAAACATAATTTGACTGGAGCATTTTCTAGAGAAAGGAAAGAAAACATATTTCTGACTACATAAGAGGGAACAAGTATGTGTTTATTACCTATTAAAGTGAAGCTGCTTCTTATAGCTGTTAGTTTAATCTCCCCTTAATCGTCAGTTTGCAACCTTTGTGTCCCGAACCAACCATAATAAATGTATATTGCCGACTCATCAGTTTAGAGGATTTCAGCCTAAGACAAAAGTAGCAGAGGCTAAAGCAGCTTCTGTTCAGAGGGACAGAGATTTCTGGGTCAGTGGGTAGGAGGTCCATCTGAGGTTCGGGCAAGCCATCCCTGGCGGTGAGAGGGCTGAGTCAACTTACCTTAAGGAGATAACAATTTCCTGAGGATGGAAACTGGAACACCGCTTCAGTAAGAAGACGCCTGCATCTCCCTTTGTCAACCCTGCCTCCAACTTTAGTCCAATAAAAACAAAGGCCAGGGCTTCCCTGGTGGCGTAGTGGTTGAGAGTCCGCCTGCCGATGCAGGGGA